CATAAATGAAAATTGTTTATTAAAAAAGTAAAAGTTGTGAGGCTTTTAGTAAATGAAAGGGGTCAAGTAAGTCATACATGTTTGCAAAACTGGTATTCTGACGTATACAAGTTACAGCAGAATGCAGTAGAGATTACCGAGACCTTTAATATACGGTAAATAGAATTAAGACTAAAGATGTGATGGAAGCAAAGAACTTGAGCAATCTGTTTGGATTGTATGGCTATACATAATGCTGGGCTGGGGAAAATTCAAGTGGAAATCTATGATCGGGAGGTAAGGGTGAATGGGCAAGCCACAAAACATCTGCACATGAGATGAGAGTTATGGGGAAGGGAAGGGGGGGGGGGGGCCACACTAGATTGATAAGGAAGTATTTTGCAAACATTAAAATTAATGGAGGCAAAGATTTTGTGTGACAAATAACCCAAATGTGTGTGTGTAGCAACTAATGATGAGGCAGGGCTGAAGAATATATTTACTTTTAATTCATCATATCCAGGCTTAAGATGAACTACAGGACGGGTAATTATTGAGCACTCGGTACGTATGGCACAAGATGATTTCAAGGCTTGAGCCATCCCAACAACATGCAGGAAATATCACTGGTATTACCAAGCAAGGTCTCACAACCATCATTCACATCAATAAAGGGCAATCTATCTGGTTTATACAACATCAGTGCTTTCTCTTATAGGATTTATTCATTATAATTAATTATACTACCTAATTGATGCCAGAAAAATCCTGACAAAATGTATATTCATAAAGATTTCTATGTACTGTAACCTACTTATTTTAGGAAGAGTCAACTAATATTGCAAAATCATCAAGCCACCTTATACTATATTTGAAAACTCCGTTTGTAGTACAGTTGGGTTTATTTTTGACTCACAATAGGGAATCCCAGGTTCGAATCCCCAGGGACAGAAATTGTTGAACACATTTCCTTTCATCTAATGCCTCAGTTCACTTAGTAGTGAACTGGTACCTGGAAGTTTGTCAACTGTTGTGGGGTTGCATCCTGGGGCGGGGCGGTTAGAATTAGAATGATTAGAAACGAATGGATGAGATAAGTGGATAACATGGAGCAATAATGCTACAAATTAAGGAAATGTTGTATAATTTTCTAACAAAGCAAATTAAATAGCAACAACTGGATCAAATAAATGTTAGCCATGGCAGGTGCGGACTGGTATGATGCCCCATGGCAGGTGTGGACTGGTATGATGCCCCATGGTGGGTGTTGACTGGTATGATGCCCCATGGCAGGTGTGGACTGGTATGATGCCCCATGGCAGGTGTTGACTGGTATGATGCCCCATGGCAGGTGTGGACTGGTATGATGCCCCATGGCAGGTGTTGATTGGTATGATGCCCCATGGCAGGTGTGGACTGGTATGATGCCCCATGGCAGGTGTTGACTGGAATGATGCCCCATGGCAGGTGTTGACTGGAATGATGCCCCATGGTGGGTGTGGACTGGTATGATGCCCCATGGCAGGTGTGGACTGGTATGATGCCCCATGGCGGGTGTTGACTGGTATGATGCCCCATGGCAGGTGTGGACTGGTATGATGCCCCATGGCAGGTGTTGACTGGTATGATGCCCCATGGCGGGTGTTGACTGGTATGATGCCCCATGGCGGGTGTTGACTGGTATGATGCCCCATGGCGGGTGTGGACTGGTATGATGCCCCATGGTGGGTGTTGACTGGTATGATGCCCCATGGCAGGTGTTGACTGGTATGATGCCCCATGGCGGGTGTGGACTGGTATGATGCCCCATGGCGGGTGTGGACTGGTATGATGCCCCATGGCGGGTGTGGACTGGTATGATGCCCCATGGCGGGTGTGGACTGGTATGATGCCCCATGGCGGGTGTGGACTGGTATGATGCCCCATGGCGGGTGTGGACTGGTATGATGCCCCATGGCGGGTGTTGACTGGTATGATGCCCCATGGCGGGTGTGGACTGGTATGATGCCCCATGGCAGGTGTGGACTGGTATGATGCCCCATGGCGGGTGTTGACTGGTATGATGCCCCATGGCGGGTGTTGACTGGTATGATGCCCCATGGCGGGTGTTGACTGGTATGATGACCCATGACAGGTGTGGACTGGTATGATGCCTCATGGCAGGTGTGGACTGAAATGATGCCCCATGGCAGGTGTGGACTGAAATGATGCCCCATGGCAGGTGTGGACTGGTATGATGCCCCATGGCAGGTGTGGACTGGAATGATGCCCCATGGCAGGTGTGGACTGGAATGATGCCCCATGGCAGGTGTGGACTGGAATGATGCCCCATGGCAGGTGTTGACTGGAATGATGCCCCATGGCAGGTGTTGACTGGAATGATGCCCCATGGCAGGTGTTGACTGGAATGATGCCCCATGGCAGGTGTTGACTGGAATGATGCCCCATGGCAGGTGTGGACTGGTATGATGCCCCATGGCAGGTGTTGACTGGAATGATGCCCCATGGCAGGTGTGGACTGGAATGATGCCCCATGGCAGGTGTTGACTGGAATGATGCCCCATGGCAGGTGTGGACTGGAATGATGCACCATGGCAGGTGTGGACTGGTATGATGCCCCATGGTGGGTGTTGACTGGAATGATGCCCCATGGCGGGTGTTGACTGGAATGATGCCCCATGGTGGGTGTTGACTGGTATGATGCCCCATGGCTGGTGTGGACTGGTATGATGCCCCATGGCAGGTGTGGACTGGAATGATGCCCCATGGCAGGTGTGGACTGGTATGATGCCCCATGGCAGGTGTGGCATATGGGTGAGGGAAACATGAGGGAAAGTAGTAACCAAACAAGAAGGGAAGGGAACTATCAGAGCAAAAGCACCAAGCCATTACGGCTATAGAGCACTTGGAAGGGGTCAGGATAAGGATTTGGGATGGGCTGGGGGAAAGGAATGGTGCCCAACCACTTGGACATTTGGGGATTGAACGCCAACCTGCATGAAGCGAGACCGTCGCTCTACCGTCCAGCCCAAGTGATTGGACAACCAAACATGGAGAGAGTAGCATAAGGAGGAGCTACAAACCAAACCTGGACACACACCAAGGTGAGGGAGATGGCAATAAAAAGTGGAACATTACCAAGTAAAACTTAAAACAGAAAGAAGGAATGTGACAAATAAAGATGCGAATGGAAATAATAAATTTAGCCGAGAGATGCTACAGAGGCGACATGTAAAGTAGCAAGTTATAGTAAAGCAAGAGTGGTGAGGAAGCAGTGATGAGTGGTACAGCAGACAAGGTGAGAAGGATAAGGACACAGAGGGCACAGAATTCTGGAGGATCCAACATGCATGGAGTAAGGTGAACGGGCAGCCTGAAGGATGGGTCGAGTAACCACATACACACAACGCTTTAGTGAAATAAAAGAAACATGATGAAGAAAATATTGTACAGTAAAAAAAAAGATATTGTTCCTAGAAGTGTATATCTACGAGAGAAATGGAATGAGGATGATACTGTACGTGCCAGACGAGGAGTCGAGATACAGTATACAATGTGAAAAAGCTCTTCTCAGGCACACTAGAATACAATACAATACATACAGTAATAGATAATATTTGCTTGTTAATGATACCAATAGTTAAAAATATAACTAACGGGCTAAGGAGGATTCAATTCCATTTAGTTTATAGTTCACTTGTGTTAATCAGCCACAAAGAAAATAAAGACATTACTATAACATCACAGATGAGCATCACAAAAGGTTGTCACACACCTGTGAGACGAGCCTGGTCCAAACCGTACTAATATTGTACATGCTACAAACATACACCCATGCCAAAAATACATGACTCCACAAAATTTCACACATTTAACATTTTAATAATAAGCATGCTTAGAACTTCAGCTGTGCAGTCCACTGAAGGTACCAATATCTCAGAGAATGCAGAGATATCAAGTGGTCCCTTTAATAAAGCTCAGCCCCCTGGATTGTACCCTGCTCCTTCCCACTGCTTGTAACATGCTACACCATTATTACCCCCCCCCCCACACACACACACACACACGGCTGCATATTACCGCATCTCCAGACACCTCCACACCATTCCTTCCACTACAAACTACACACATGATTTATCACAATCATATGGAAATGTATATACTTTCTGTATGTATATATATATATATATATATATATATATATATATATATATATATATATATATATATATATATATATATATACCTTGTTGATACCTGGTTGATGGGGTTCTGGGAGTTCTTCTACTCCCCAATCCCGGCCCGAGGCCAGGCTTGACTTGTGAGAGTTTGGTCCACTAGGCTGTTGCTTGGAGCGGCCCGCAGGCCCACATACCCACCACAGCCCGGTTGGTCCGGCACTCCTTGGAGGAAATCTAGTTTCCTCTTGAAAATGTCCACGGTTGTTCCGGCAATATTTCTTATGCTTGCTGGGAGGACGTTGAACAACCGTGGACCTCTGATGTTTATACAGTGTTCTCTGATTGTGCCTATGGCACCTCTGCTCTTCACTGGTTCTATTCTACATTTTCTTCCATATCGTTCACTCCAATACGTTGTTATTTTTCTGTGTAGATTTGGTACTTGGCCCTCCAGTATCTTCCAGGTGTATATTATTTGATATCTCTCTCGTCTTCTTTCTAGTGAGTACATTTGGAGGGCTTTGAGACGATCCCAATAATTTAGGTGCTTTATTGCGTCTATGCGTGCCGTATATGTTCTCTGTATTCCCTCTATTTCAGCAATCTCTCCTGCTCTGAAGGGGGAAGTGAGTACTGAGCAGTACTCAAGACGGGACAACACAAGTGCCTTGAAGAGTACAACCATTGTGATGGGATCCTTGGATTTGAACAATACTGTATATAAAAATAAAAAATATATATATATATTTTTATTTATTAATATATAATAAAATAATATATATATTTTATATATATTAAAATATATATATTTAATGAAAAAATATATATATATTTTTTTTCCAGAATTTTCTGAACATTTTGTTCTTGAACTATTTTGCTTTAATTTTGTCAAACTACAAAAGGATGGCACTCAGAGGTCACTTCAGGCATTCGGGAGTCAACAAAGGCACTCGGGAGTCAACAAAGGCACTCGGGAGTCAACAAAGGCACTCGGGAGTCAACAATGGCACTCGGGGGTCAACAAAGGCACTCGGGAGTCAACAAAGGCACTCGGGAGTCAACAATGGCACTCGGGAGTCAACAATGGCACTCGGGAGTCAACAATGGCACTCGGGAGTCAACAATGGCACTCGGGAGTCAACAAAGGCACTCGGGAGTCAACAAAGGCACTCGGGAGTCAACAAAGGCACTCGGGAGTCAACAAAGGCACTCGGGAGTCAACAAAGGCACTCGGGAGTCAACAAAGGCACTCGGGAGTCAACAAAGGCACTCGGGAGTCAACAAAGGCACTCGGGAGTCAACAAAGGCACTCGGGAGTCAACAAAGGCACTCGGGAGTCAACAAAGGCACTCGGGTGTCAACAAAGGCACTCGGGGGTCAACAAAGGCACTCGGGGGTCAACAAAGGCACTCGGGGGTCAACAAAGGCACTCGGGGGTCAACAAAGGCACTCGGGGGTCAACAAAGGCACTCGGGGGTCAACAAAGGCACTCGGGGGTCAACAAAGGCACTCGGGGTCAACAAAGGCACTCGGGGTCAACAAAGGCACTCGGGGGTCAACAAAGGCACTCGGGGGTCAACAAAGGCACTCGGGGGTCAACAAAGGCACTCGGGGGTCAACAAAGGCACTCGGGGGTCAACAAAGGCACTCGGGGGTCAACAAAGGCACTCGGGGGTCAACAAAGGCACTCGGGGGTCAACAAAGGCACTCGGGGGTCAACAAAGGCACTCGGGGGTCAACAAAGGCACTCGGGGGTCAACAAAGGCACTCGGGGGTCAACAAAGGCACTCGGGGGTCAACAAAGGCACTCGGGAGTCAACATAGGCACTCGGGGGTCAACAAAGGCACTCGGGAGTCAACATAGGCACTTGGAAGTCTAATAAATGAAAATTACAGCATAATTTTGTGGAACATATGGCACACAACTTGTGTCAGCTTGCTGTACCTTTGAAATACAGGACAAACACAAAAACCATGACAGGTATTGTAATAGCTACAATATGATGTGAGCCAATAACATTATTTAGTTGAAGTCCACCCGACATCTGATGAACATGTTCTTTATAATTAAATGCTGTCAGTTTAGCATCAGCAAATGGATGTTTATTCCATTATTTGAGTATAAATGAATGTATCCAAACAGCACATAACACTTAAGTGTTCAAGCTTTGGAAATGCTTAATATCAAGGTTGGCTTTTATTGATCAGCGGCATGTTCACATCATGAAATGTACAGTATTGTCACTAAAAATCAAATAAATTAACACGTGCATTAATTAACTGCTTTCATGGCCACATCGATCACTGTAACTTGTTAATTAAGAGATGAATCATGTCTTTAATATCAGCCACATCCCTGGTCTGCTTGTGTAGCTGCTCCTGGAGCATCTCTGTCTGCCCCGACACCTCCCGCCGCACCAGCTCAACCACCTGCAAATAATAAATCCTACACAACCAATATTCTCACAGTCATATTATCACTGTAAATATTAGTATTCATTATGATAGGGGTGGTTATGTTTTATACAGGACTATCTCTCAGAACAGAGTGGCAGCCTCAGAGCGTATGGACAACAGCGGCTCAAGTTCAGGTAAAATGTACGAGTACAAATAAAGCATGTGGCACATTACATACTGTACCTTTGAAGGTACAGTATGTACCTTCAAAGGTACATATGCATGCCCTATATGCATGCATATTATATATATATATATATATATATATATATATATATATATATATATATATATATATATTTATATTTTGGAGTTACGTGTACAAAATAATTTATTTACCGTTTAATCCCACTTCAAAATCTCTTTCAAACAATTTATGATGAAACACTAAATATTTTTTCTTTTTATAAAATATCCATATAAATAAGGTCTTGTATGGCAGTAAAGACAGTACTTACATTCTCTTAATTTTGCGAAAGACAGTCACTGATTGTCAATAAAGTTAATTATAAAATGTGTATATTACCTTTTATCACTTTAAGTACTGTACAGTGCTGTATACATGGGAACATACTTAATCTTAATTTACATTCTTATTCTTACTTTACATTAGCTGTGAACATCCACTATGTGGGAAACAAAGTCCATATAAGAGGCTGGCCACTTATCTGTAAAATATATCCTTGAGTACAATAGAAAGAAGCCTTCTAGTTATATGAGGGCTAGGGAAGAAAACCAGACAGGAACCTCATTGGTGCCAAAGGTAGCACCATCCACCCTCTGGTGGCAGCGGGGAAGGTTGGAAAGATTATTTGCTTCTTATAAAGTTTTGTTTGCTTCCAAAACATTTCTTGGGGGAAGTTTTGAGTGCTCCCTGCCCCTATAATGGGGCCAAATCAGTATGAAATATCACATGCTCCTGGTAGGATGAGACAGCCATAGAAAACTGGCATGTCGGCAATGGCCATAGATTGGAGTTACTGGAAGCTTGTGAAGCCATTGTTTTCATTTGATTTAGACCTTTAGATATGGTCTAAATTTGTATTCTATATATAAATAAAAGAATGGAAACTATATGTAGAAACAGAGTGTTTGCATAATACCATACTATTCATGGTGACTTAGCAAGTTTGTGAAATTACCGAGTATTAGAATTACTATACAGTACTATATACCTGGCCAGTGATGTCAGGGGATTGGATGGCATGTGCCTCAGCAGCCTCTGATGTACTTCTCACTGGCGGCGATACGGGTTCTGTACACAGCTGGACTTCCTGCCTCCTCAACGTACTTAAGTAATTTGAAGATTCTTGTGAGAATGAGCGTTGATAACAGAGGTCATTTTCTAAGGAAAAGTAGCTTGAATTTCCTTGTGAATTTGGAGTATCAATATTAGTATCACGTGGTTTCTGTGCCCCTACCACTGTACTAGAGAACTCCTCAAGCCTCAAAGGAACACGTTCATCCTGAGCTGTTACATTATGATCGGAAGGTCCGTCACTGATTAAACTATGCTTAGAGAGTTCAGAATTGACTGTTGCAGTGGTAATATGGTTCTCTGAACTCAAGGAAGACGAGCTTCCCTTCACTGGATCTGGAGAAGTTGCACTGTCTTTTAGGGATTCTCGGGGAGGAGATGATCTAACCGACTGACTAGAGGAATGACCATGGGACAATGAAGGATCTTGACCACTGGTACAGTGACCAGGAGGTTCTGGTGAAGCTCGCTGTGATGCCAGAGTTAGTGTCTCCAGGTCATGGCAAAGTTCTGATTGCTGTTGAAGAAGGCTCATCATCTGCAAATAAATTTTGACTAGACAATTGTGCTTCAAATTTTTACCAAATCATGCAATAAAGCTTAATAATGATACTATCATTATATATTTTAGATAAACAAATACATATTACAGGTTGAAGTAGTTACTGTTGTTGCAAGTAGTTAACAACTACTGTACTTGCAACAACAAACTTCCAATGACTAGGGATACAAAAATTAATATACTTTTCATACACAATATACAGTACTAGTATTGTACTATAATTAAATGTTTAAAGATAAAAGTACTGTATCTTAAAGTATTGAGTAGTACTCAAGACAGGACAACACAAGTGATTTGAAGAGTACAACCATTGTGATGGAATCCCTGGATTTGAAAGTTCTCGTAATCCATCCTATCATTTTTCTGAATGACGCAATATTTGCTTGGTAATGCTTCCTAAACGTTAGGTCGTCTGACATCATTATTCCCAAATCCTTTACTTGCTGTTTTCCTACTATGGGCAGATTTGATTGTGTTTTGTACCTTGTATTATGTTTACCACTGTGCTGCTCGGACTCCAAATATGGCACCCTCCCCCCCCTGTGCACTGGAAATAAATTCTTGAATTAATAAATGTGCTATCACTCTATGGTCATATTTATCGAATGCCTTTGCAAAGTCTGCGTATACCACATCTGTATTTTTTTTCTTCTAATGCCTCAGTGATTTTGTCGTAGTGGTCAAGTAGCTGTGAGAGGCATGATCTTCCCGCTCTAAATCCATATTGGCCTGGGTTGTGGAGGTCATTGGTTTCCATGAAACTAGTGACCAGATTCCTGATCATTCTCTTAAATACTTTTATTATGTGGAACATTAGTGCAACTGGTCTATAATTCTTTGCCAATGCTTTGGTCCCTCCCTTGTGTAGAGGGGCTATGCCTGCTGATCTAAGAGTATCTGGTATCTCCCCCGTGTCCAAGCTCTTCCTCCACACTATACTGAGTGTCTGCGCTACTGGCACCTTGCATTTCTTTATAAAAATTGAATTCCATGAGTCTGGCCCCGGGGCTGAGTGCATGAGCATGTTGTCAATTTCCCTTTCAAAATCTGCCACTCTCGTGTTGATATCAGTTATATTTACAGGGGTTTGGATATCACGCATAAGGAAGTTGTCCGGATCTTCCACTTTCATGTTGTTTATTGGAGTGTTAAACATGTTCTCATACTGTTTTTTTAGGATTTCACTAATTTCTTTGTCATCCTCCGTGTATGAACCTTCATTCGTATGAATAGGTCCAATACTGGCAGTGGTTTTTGGTTTTGATTTCACACATGAAGAAATATTTTGGATTTTTCTTTATTTCTTGAATTGCTTTCTGTTCTAATTGCCTTTCTTCAATCTGATATGAATGCTTCAGTCTCTGTTCGATTTCTTCAATCTCCCCGTTTAAATTATTTCTTCTTTGTATGGAAAGTCGTGTCTGTTTAAACATTTCCTTTTTTTTTCTTCTTTTGTAGTGTCGTCTGCGTTCACTTTCTACATTGGATCTCTTTCTGGCTTTCCTCAAAGGCACGTGTTTCAGACTTCATATGCTTCCGAAGTCAGTTTTTCTATACCTTGTCTAGGATTTTTATTACTTAAAAACAGTTTCCCATTGAATGTTTGTAAGGTTCCTGTTTCTTTTCTCCCAGTCTATCCTTTTATTATTAAAATTGAATTTACTGAATAATTCTTCTCGACTGTTGTTTCGACTTGAGGCCTACTACCATTATTAATGTTAGTTTGCACTTCAATGATCTTGTGGTCCGAGTACGTAGTGTCTGAGACAGTAATGTCTCTGATTAGCTCATCATTGTTCATGAATATCAGGTCCAGCGTGTTCTCGTTCCTAGTTGGTTCTGTAATCTGCTGACTGAGCGAGAATTTATCACAGAATCTCAGTAGTTCTCTGACCTGTGGTTGGTTATTTCCAGGATGATTTCCTGCTATAATGTTATTGTTTACTATTCTCCATTTTAAACTGGGTAGATGGCGTGGGGCTGCCCACAGGAGCCGATAACGCAGAAGAAACTACCACACTTGCTCAATAGGAACGGGTCAAAACACTTTACTGCAACCATAAATCCATGAGGACAAACTCTTAACACCCACTTTCTTAGAAGAACCAGCTGAACCCACCTTCATCTGGAGATATCAGCCAGTGATGGAGATGACAATGTGGCCTTTAAAATATGCGCCATATTTAGACGCAAAAAATATATAACTTCCAAAGTTATAGGTTTATGAATATACTTTTTTTGACACTTTAGAACTAAGAACTTTGCACATGTGTAAAAATGGTGAGAATCGCTCAGAAACTGGATATTTTTTAATTTGACTCAAAGTTGAAATTCCTGTTTTAGAGGTAATTGCAGTTGAAATTACTGTATTGACAATGAATATGGTAGTTCTAATTTATCAATATACTTGAATGTTTTAATAAACACTGCTTGGCATTCATACTTGAATATGTGAAAGTTGTAGGTCAATATGTGTTGAAATGAAGTCAAGAAAAAATAGCCCAACCAAAGAAACAAATACTGTATAGGAATAAGGATAATGGGTTAATAAGAATAATAAGTATACATGATACAAGAGATAAGGCCCATATCTGGTCCCCATTCATCAATACAACCTAAAGAGATAAAGAAGAGTGTTTGAAATCTGAAAATGTTTCAGTCAAAAAAAAAAATAAATAACTAAAAAAAAAAAAAAAAAAGTTTTGCCACCTGTGGCTGATTAAGTTGTTGACCAATTTCATTCACTCTTCACATACATAGTGACGGCATGCATTCTACAAGATGTAGAAGCTACAACAAATTCAGATTATAAACAAAGGAGAAAAACCCACAAAAATTAAAAAAAAAAAAAATAAAAATCTTCATGCAGGTCGGCGTTCAATCCCTGACCGTCCAAGTGGTTGGGAACCATTCCTTCCCTCTACCCGTCCCATCCTAAATCCTTATCCTGACCCCTTCCCAGTGCTATAGAGTCGTCATGGCTTGGCACTTTGCCGACAATTCCCTTCCCTTCCCTTCCCTCCCTCCCACCCCCCCCTTTTGAAAAAAATAATTGTTGGACTTTGCTGAAACTAACAGATATTGGCATTGGGCAATGTATTTATAAGATATATAACAAAATACAGCATAATAATATACTTATTATTATTTGTGTAATTATGTATTGCTCAGTAATGTAATTACTGAGTAATTACTCTGTAATTACCATAGCATTATCCCTCAGTTCCAGTTAATAGGAGCTGTTCTTATCGGAACATTTTTTTATTTTTAAATATTCGCATAAAATCCATTTCTTAACATACTGTATTGGGATGAAATTTTCATGACGCTGCTGCCAAATTATTGGAGATTTGTAAAACATTTTCAATTAATTTTCATTAAATTCAAATGTTCTTTGAGCTTCGACCTCTTAAATTAATGATAATGCAGATACAGGCAGCAGGGTATTAATGATGATGCAGTCACAGGACTTCAACACTTCAGCACATTGCTCAATCACTTATCATTGCCTTGCTCACCTGTGAAATAACACTCGTGACACATGAGTGACCGAGGGAGTCGGGTCCGGCCGCAGCCATCAGCTGCTCCATGTAGGTGACCTCTGCACGGATTGCAACCCTGATAGCACGAATATTGTGCAGTTGAAGGTACACGTGTTGGGCTGATGTAGGACAAGCAGCAGAGTTGGCAGCAAGTTTATGCAGCTGGTGGGACAGCTGCTCCTGCTGTACCAGCTGTTGTCGGTATGACTGAAGGGTACTCAGCAGCTCCTGTGAATAAGCAATTTATATAGTGATTTTTGTACCATGGCACATTCATTAATCCTTACACTGCAATGAGCATTAAGTTTTTTTTTAGGTTTTTAGGCATCCTGTACTCTACTCTAAAATCCTTCATTCATCTTCATATCTTTCCCCTTACACCTATGTTCTACAGAAACCTCAACTATCTATGAAAACTTAAAGTGTCCAATTTATAATTATCATAATCTAGGTGTAATAACACTAGGGGGACAGGAAATCACAAATTTTTTTAAGGTGACGAATTGAATACTCATTAAATAGCACACTTTGTTTTATTGGTTATTAATAGCAATGACAAAGTATTTTTTGTGAACCATACTGATGCTCTTGGAAGCATTACTTGTAAACTACTCTCCACTCACCTATTCCACCCAATAATTACATTCAACTTCAACACAGCATAACTAACACTGCTTCAAGGTGACAACAATTTCTCACACACACAAGGTTCATTATACTGTATAGACATTAACTTACATGTGAGGAGGACTGTGCCTCACAGGTTTGGTGCACAGGACTGTTGGTGGCGATTTCAGGTCTCCGGTCTTCTGCACTGGTCACACTAGAGATGTGGGAGCTAGCCAAGCTGTTGCTGTTAGTAGAAGGGAACAGATACTCACTAGTGACAGGCTGCCAGTGGGCCAAGGAAATTTGTTGAGGTTCCGGCAGCCAGGATGACTGGGCCAACTGCTGAGGTGGCTGTGGTTGTGGCTGTGATGACTTGGGAAGCTGACTGGAGTGTAGAGGTTCGGGAAGAGAGTGTCGTCTGTGTGTTACTGGCTTGGGCTCGGATGTGTGCTGTCTGTGCCATGTTTCACATGGACGATACGAACTATGTAATGCATTTGTGGGTTCTGGATAAGAAGGAAGACATTGTATGCACTGTGATGTATGCTGCCTATTAGAAATAACTGATGATGAATTCTTGTGTGAATTTTTTAAACAGTATGCATGGAGCGTTGAGTTGTCTAAACTACGACTAGGATATAATGATGTAGGATTTGTATTACGGTTGAGAGTATTTGAGCAACAATCTAAGCTATGGGTGTGATGAATGTAGGACTGATAGCTGGGGATGGGGCTGCCAGTTAAGGGATTCATGGTTACAGAGTTCTCTACAGGATGACCAGTATCACGAACCCGACAGCTATGTGAAGGTACGAGGCTACGGACACGGCCACTTTGGATACTGCTGTCGTGATCTCGATGAGTGGGTGTCTGCTCGAGACCATGCGTGCGATGGCTGAACTGGCCTTGAGAACTGTGACCAGGATGCAGAGCCAAGGTACGGCTGAGTGGCACGTGGCGGATGGTGTCCATGCTGCACCCACTCTCTCGACTCCACCACCATCCATGACCCTGTACATACACACCCACATATACAAGCATCACTACCCTTGAACACATGCACTCTACCTACATGAGGTAAATGAACCTACAGGCAAAACAGGTTAGTAAGATTTATGAGAAGTAATTTAATACAATATTTTATTACACTACCTAAAACTTTGTGCAACTTAGTCAAATTTCTACAAAATTTGCAGACTAATTCTACACAATCAGACTGTATGACACTATCTATACACTAAACAATTATTATTATATACTGTATTAAGCAAAACATGTTTATTTTAAACAATAAAGATTTATCATTCCAGCAGTTTATGTATTAATCAGTTAATTTATACACAATTGTTACAGAAATTAAAATAAACCAAATATTTTGCAATAGAAATGCTATTGTGAAACTTTGTAATACACAGAAGCTTAAATAAAAAAAATAAGCATTGAATGCAATGAAATGCCTTTTTCAGGTGGATCCTCAGTAGCTTCCCGAGCTTAAAAGCAGGTACAGTACTATATTGTACGGTGCTGTGAAGCCTGGGAACACTGCTCCAGGCCTTCAACACCCACCCTTGCCTACCACCAGCTCGGATCAGGATTTGGCTCTTTCTATGAAGAATGAAAAGAGGAGCTTGCAGATCAAAGATCAACTGAAAACCAAGAAAAAATCCCCTAGAAAGAATAAGGGCAATAAAACAAGTGACTAATTGCAGGAAATTAGTAGCCCGGAGGCAAACAGAGGAAAAGATTGTTGCTGTGAGGTAAATATTCTAACCGCCACTAGATGGCAGTGCAGGTGGTCACCCAGGGTTTTAACCTGTCCTCTGGCCATCCACGAGCACGTTCAACACCCATTGAATGAGGGCCCAGAGATCTTGAGATCTTGAGATAATTTCGGGGCTTTTAGTGTCCCCGCGGCCCGGTCTTCGACCAGGCCTCCACCCCCAGGAAGCAGCCCGTGACAGCTGACTAACACCCAGGTACCTATTTTACTGCTAGGTAACAGGGGCATAGGGTGAAACAAACTCTGCCCATTGTTTCTTGCCGGAGCCCGGGATCGAACCCGGGACCACAGGATCACAAGTCCAGCGTGCTGTCCGCTCGGCCGACCGGCTCCCTCACCCAAAGAAGAAGGGAAGAACAGCAGGAGCACCAAGGACAGGAGGAGTTTCTCTCAAGCCATCCAAGAAATCCAAGGGGGGGGGGGGACAACAATTAAAGAAGGATTAGGCCATGGAAGGTTTACCGTAGATTGCTGTCTACTGGCCCTCAAATAGAGGTAATTTAGGGACCCAAACTAGTGGTTGAGGCAAGGCGGTTGAACGAGCAGAAGCTGGCCAGGTGGGTTAACCAGCGCCCAAATCAATAAGGTCAACAGAATAATGCAACAGAAATGATGCCAACATTTACACACCAAACCCTGTCATACAAGGAATGAGGAAAGGCAAATGATGCCATGGATAAATAATAGAAGAATCACTTACTGCAACCCAAGTGCAATCCCAGTGGAATGAGCAAGGCACCAATGCACTCATGAATGAGGGGTCAAGGGCTAAACACAAGCACACAACTAACATATTTAATTCCCATCAATAGATTTGTTATTGAGGACCAAGTCCCAAACCACAGGGGCAACTAAAAAAAAAAAGAAAAAGAAAAAAAGAGTTCCTTTTGTGGTGACTATTCTGTGTCCCAGAATATACACAAATTCTTCAGACAAGGTATCTCTGGTGTGGATAGAGGAACAATTATATATCATAATTTGGAATAATAAACAAAGCACAGCTACCATCTTCCCTGCGGGAAAAAATATCTCGAACACCACACCACTTATGTAGACAGAAAGATTAATGAATCAGATCCAGAACACTGTAGTGGGTACCAGGTACGCGAATAACAGTGCTGTAGCTGGATCTGCAGGTGACATCGGCTGACATCTAGAAGTGTGTGAGTTAACACAGCGGTTCATGTGTGGAAAACTATTGCTTGCTTTTTCTGTCTTTCTTTCGTATCTTTCTATCAAGATTAATGGTTTGTTTTGCTGCATCTGTACTTTGTAGGAGAATTTTCTTGGTTTTGGGTCAATCTATGATCCGCATGCTTCCCCTCACTTTTAAGAGCATACAAGATTCCGAGTCTGGTTTTCGATCACTGTGCAAGTTCAAAGGCTCGATGGTGCTTTGAGTGCCGTTGAGCCAAAGCTAAATCACCAGGAGGCTACTGAGCCCAGAAAAGCACACCTGTGTATCAAAAGGAAGCATAACTATAGGAACTAATACAAGCCAGAAAGATGCCAAAACCTGCTACACTTCACTACCATACTAGTATGGGAAATCACCCACAGAGGTGCAACAGGTACTCTGAGAGAGAACTCTATCAACATCAGAGGTCCGAGACTGTTCAACACGCTTCCACTACACATAAGGGGCATAACTGGCCGACCCCTCACAGTGTTCAAGAGAGAACTGGATAAGCACCTCCAAAGGATACCTGATCAACCAGGCTGTGACTCGTACGTCAGGCTGCGAGCAGCCGCGTCCAACAACCTGGTTGATCAGTCCGGCAACCAGGAGGCCTGGTCGACGACCGGGCCGCGGGGACGCTAAGCCCCGGAAGCACCTCACGGTAACCTCAAGGTAGGTAAGGTAACCATGTACGTATTAAAATAAATTCCAATACAGTATATGAATACAATGCTTACCACTACTCCCAACCTTGGCCTGTGGACTACCAACTTTTTTCCAGTTATATGGCATATTTTTATAGCTAGTTAAGCAGACATACGGTAAGTGGATGAAGCGCTAATAACAAGTGAATAAATAATATTCCTTCATATTAAAGGATTTACAGGACAGCCACTTTTGTAGACCACAGCTAATTAAGGTTTTATTCTTCTACCAAATAAAATATATGAACAACTAGCTACATTAGCTATGTGAATAATAGGCTACATTAGCTATGTGAATAACTAGCTGCATTAGCTATGTGAATAATAGGCTACATTAGCTATGTGAATAATAGGCTACATTAGCTATGTGAATAATAGGCTACATTAGCTATGTGAATAACTAGCTGCATTAGCTATGTGAATAACTAACTGGAATGGAAACGTGGCTGCTTTTCTAAACAGAAATGTAAAGTGAATGTAACTAGATGGGAAATAAAACAGCTAAGTGAAGCTCTGTATAACTCACCAATGGGGAATAGCTGAAATAGTAACTGACATACTCACCTAAGAGGAAAAGTGTATTATGACTATAGAGATCTACCAAATTAGATGAAACACTGACAATATCTAATTCACCTAGTTTAGGTTATCTTGAGATGATTTCGGGGCTTGACGTCCCCACGGCCCGGTCTTTGACCAGGCCTCATTTTTGTTACACACCCCTAGGAAGCAGCCTGTAGCAGCTGTCTAACTCCCAGGTACCTATTTACTACTAGGTGAACAAGGGCATCTGGGTGAAAGAAACTCTGCCCATTTGTTTACACCTCCACCGGGAAGGTGGTGGATTAGGTAAAACTAGCTATGAGCAATTTCCCCCGAGAGTAAGAGAAGAAACGGTGACCCAAACTTACCTAGTTTGCCCTTTATATATTTCTTGTTATTGTTAGAATATGTGGCACTTTTGTTCCAGTTCTTACAGTTGATGAAAACTTAGCAATTCATTATTATATACTGTACTTGCAATGAGAGCATATATGAATGAAGGCATGGTCAACATGTGTGTGTGACTGAAGCATTACAATGCTGTGTACTCAACACAATCTGAAATTATACTTTTCTGGAGTTGCACTCCTCAGTAGCTACCCCAAGCTTCCAACACTGGGATGTATATGATAATAGTGAAGACACCAGGTTTCCAGCGACAAACTCGGCACATCAGGGGCACAAGAACCATATTTGCTTGCCCCTTCGTCATGGCTGGGGAGCTCATGAGGATACAAAATCACCCTCATTACCAAGGTCAACCATAGAGATAGGAAATACAGTACAGTACTTAAAAAATCAACTCTTTCGACTAAACCAATTGATTACCTTGAATATCACCAAGAACCCTTTGACCCACCTAAGACAACTCTCACTTGCTTGGCATTATCATACAAGGATGTGCAGCTCTCAGCCAAGATCTTTCTCTTTCTTTCAGCTAAGAAAAGTTGCTCATTGTTGAGCAGCAGTCTGGTGCAGAGGCATTTTGTTATTTACGCTTCACACTGTGGTTGGCTCTGGCTTCGGGCATCATGTTAAGAAAGCATCATATTTTGTGTCGATGATGAGTCACAATAACATGATATATGAAGATATGATGACCAAACCACACACTAGAAGATGAAGAAATAACAACATTCCCGTCCTTCCTGGACCATTATCAAGTCAAATGTGACTTGATAATGGTCCAGGATGGACCGAAATGTTGTTGTTTCTTCATCTTCTGGTGTGTGATTTTTTCATACTGTATATCTTGTGTTGCCGTAGCACTTTCTTAGTGTTCGTCATGGGGATCATTTTTCCAATTGACAGACAGCACTACCTTTCCTTCATGAGCTGCTTCTCCCTGAGACATAGTTCATTCGTCCATTACACTCTCTGTCCTGTTAATGCCTTGCATTATTATTTGCAGGCTATGCCAGATTAATCACACTGGGTCATTTTACTAATTCTTGTTCCAGAGCTTGCTAGTCCCAATTGATTTGTTGGGTGGTTAAGTCAGCCTGGTCACTATTCTCAGGCACATGGTCTCAAATTATGCCTCTCTCATGGCCTTTTCCTCCATGTCTGTCTATGTCTATTTGGACCCAAAGTTTCTGGTGTTCCAATCTATTACGGTGGCTTAGTACTTGGCTGATGTACTGCACCCTCAACATGGGTATTACCTGTTTTACTTCTTCAGTTATAATTCACATGGTTATGAATCCTCTCATAACCATGAATCCTCACATGGTTTGCTCCTCTCTTAGTCTCTGCTAAGAATAAGCTGAGAGGAGCTACTGAGGAAAGGGGGGGGGCAACAAAA